CTGGCTACGATATAATGAGACATGGTTGGAAAAATGTTTCAAGAAGGATAAAAAATCAAGGATTATTAGATATGGTGCACATATGCTAAGTTGCTTCAGTTGTGTCTGACTCTTAGGGGCCCTACGGACTGTAGCCCACCAGTCTCCACCATCCATGGAATTGTCCAGGCAAGAAGTGGGTTGCCAAGCCCTCCTCCAGGGCATCTTCCTGACCCATGGATTGAACCCGTGTCTCTTAAGTCTCCTACATTGGCAGGTGGGTTCTTTACCACTAGCACCACCTGGGAAGCCCATTAGATGTGGTAAGAATTACTAATTTACTGGCTACTACGGAGAGACAGATTCTTGTCAAAATGAGGCTAAAATGAGCTATAAGCACATAGTTGAGAATCAAGCAATCTATAGAATGGATAGATTGAGAACCATGTATTACAATCACATTTTCTGAAATATCAGTGCAAGCGGTTGACCAGAGAATGCAGTATAGCATATCGTTTAATATTAACAGTTTTAGAGTAAGATAGATATGGGTGAATACCAGTTCTGTAACTAGCTAACTTTTACAGTTATTCAAAACCTCTTCGAGTTTCAATTTCCTCAACTGTGGAATAATGGAGAATAATACTTAACTTATGAGCAAGATAATAAATAAATACAACAATGTGTTTCAAGGGTTAGTGTGATTTTTGGCAAGTGTTATGAGCTCATCAAATACTAGTTTAATTATGCTTAAAAGGGTAGGTGGGCTGCAGATGTGATTCATTAACAAGATGGCTTCTTACAAAGGGATCCTGAGTAAGAAGAGGAACATAGGAATGACAAGGAGGACAACAAGATTTGTATATATTGGAGTACATATTGGAGCTGACAACATAAGGATGACTCTCTCTGCACTCTCCTGAGCCTGTCCGGGCTAAGAATCTGTAGCCTAAGGCAGGGTGAAGAGGAATGGTTACATTTTTCTGACCCAGGCAGGCAGATTTTGAAGACACCCATTAATGTCAGCCCCCAGGGCCAGGGCTTTGCTTACAGCCCCTGATATATGGGATTTGCTCAGGCCTGGGAGCAGGGTTGGAAGCTGTGTCAGGGAGATGTGTCTGAGCTGTTGGAGAGGAACATAGTCTTATGGGCACCATAACTCTTGATCCAACTAGTTCATTCACCAGCCCTCTGTTACCTTGTGACTCTACTAATCTTCCTATAAATCCCCCACTCTTGGGAGCTGGCTCAGTCCCTGCTCTGTGGTGGGACTGAAGAGAAGTTGGTGCTATTTCCTGATGATTTGAGCAGGTAAGAAGAATGCCTTAGTGGGTAGGAACAGAAGGGAAGGGATTAAAAAGTGAGAAATGCTAGGAGAAAGAGGAAAAGAGAAGATCAATGAAGTGATGGAAACTATAAATAAGGTAGGATGAAGAAACAGAGGGGTGTGATGTAGCCTTGAAGAAATTGAGACAGGAAAATGAAGGACATGAGGGAATGGGAGGAAGGAAGAGAAAAAGGGATAGAACTCATAACTCTCTGCCTGTGGTCAAGATCATTTAGAAATCAGTCAACAATAATTAAAGTTTTATGTTATTCCATACCCTCCTTTATGTAGCCAGCGCTAAGAGAAGAAAATCAGGCATTTCCAACCATTTGAGAAACACACTTGAGGCAGAAAAAGGAGATGGTGCTTGCATATGTAACTTACTGATATCAACCATATCTCATTATTGAGTCAAATGTAAGATCCAACCATAAAGTGGTACAGAGAAGTGGAGGCAAAGTTTCAGGTTAATATGTCCTAGATCTGTCACGACAGGGTTCCAGATGGTAGAAAGAATAGATTTCAGTGTAGAGAAACGAGTAGAAGAAGGTGGGGATTGGTCTATACTTTACCAATGCCAGTAAGCAGTGATGCTGTCCTTTGGATCACTACATTATTTAGTTGGGTGGATCTTATACAAGTCATTCAATCTAGCTTTCTGTATGTGAATTGATAGATGTTACCTTTCACCTGACCAGTCAGGTGGACAACTGGTGCTATACTCTAGACTACTCTTCTGATTAGTAAATAGTACGGATAAAATCTTGACAAAACTAGGCACTGAGCTTTGTCCTATAACTTGTTCCAGATAGCATGGGCTTATGTGAGCTGGAGAGAAAGCCTTCTCCTTCTCCTGCCTACATATCCCTATCCCATTGGAAACAATTTTTCCAGTAGCATAACGAACTGAAATTAGTCTCCTTTCCTCCTAACCCCTCATATCATTCCATATTATCTTTTTGTCCTTTATGAGATACAGTTCAAATAAGAGAAGATAATTGATATCTGATTTTTTTGTCATCTTTTGATTACATTCCCATTCTAAAACGCCTCTCTACATCCACCAGCATGTGGAGGTATATACAATACAAATATATGTGGACACCCACGCATATTTTTATACAAACTGAATGACTCCACAAATATTCTTTAAATAAGCCATAAGGACATTTTTCTGTGTTTTACTTATTTCTCATCTCTATACTTCCTCTAAGTCACATACTAGTGTATAATAGAAACTGTTCTTTCATTTTCAAGGAAGAATATCACGGTGTTCAACTGTCTAACTTCTCTCATAAGCCTGATTTCTCAAATGGTCTATGGTTTAATAAAAAATGGTTTAATGGATTTTGAAGTTAGTAAATTTGGCTTTGAATTCTGAATGTGTATGTATAATTTTACCTTGTCAGTTTCATTTCCTTTCTCTAAAATAGAAGAATAAACATCTGTATCAATTTTTCCTGGTATTATATAAAATTAAATGTAAATTGGCTAACAAATGGTGACACATATAAAAGACTTTAATTCTTTTCCTTTTCTCTTAACTTACCCTCCTCCTTCTCCCAATCAATAAGAGGATTAATTACTCTCCCTATGCTCCCCATATCTATGGAAACAATTTGCCCTCAAAGCTTCCAGTCTCAATTTGTATTCCTCTAATCTAGTCTTTGTCTATCTATTATCTATCTATCCACCTGTTAATACACCTAATGAAAACTAGTTTATCTGAACTTTTATCATCTTGCTTTGTCTCTGGAGAAAACATAAAGATGAACACATACGTTTTATGTCCAGAGAGCCAGAATTTTAGAGGAAGAAAGAAATGTGATCAACCAATAGAATATTAATGTAACAAAAAGCATATGTAAAGCACTGTTGAAAGACAGTTAGTAGATTGAGAGACTTTACTGCAGAGAGATTCCAGGGTGGTTATCACAGAAAATGAATTCACTTTTAATCTTTGCTCATCAAATTGAAAAAAAGTTGTCACTGGTCTTCCTGATTCTTTGTGTTTTATTCTCAATCAAGTATAACAATACTAAATATTATAGCATAAAAGGCAATTAATTTTTTTCCTTTGGTGTAACATGTAATTTTATCTGTAACCATCTAGAATAGATTGAAGGATGGGAAGAAAATAACCAGCAATCCCTCATTTATCTTTATAAAACAACTGGAAGGATCTGCTACTCACAAATTCCTTGTATCTACTCTGTCACTGGTACAGAAAGCCTAGACTAGTTGAAAAATAAGAGTAAGAATATTATGATCAGCTATATCTACACAATGGTTAGGCTAGGTATATCATTCCTTTTTGGTTTTTTTTCTTGATAACTAAATGTCCCAAGTAAAAAATTAAAATGAGCAATGACAGTAGTGCTCATTGAAACAGCCCTAAATAGAATTGCAAAACTTGTCTTAAATATCAATTACAGATTCTGCCTCCCTTATGACATCATCTGTGTATGTGTGTGTGTGTTTGCAGCTATTACTCTATGGGCTTTCTCAGTGAACTACCTGATATTCCAGTTTATGACAGCACCTCATCTTGTCTGTCTCTGAGTGTCTCTCTTTAAGCTCTTAGTCCCTACTTCCATTCCATTAATGCTTTTTACAGTCGTTCATCTCATTTTGCTGAGGGCCTCTCACATTTTTTTATACAAGTATTTTGTCTGGCCTTATCCACTATCTCTAGATTAGGATGCTTAAAATCATGTATTCTACAATATTATTTGAACATTTTCACAGGATTCATTAGGGCCATCTACTCATAGTGAGTTAGTTACAAGTTACATGGTAGACACCTATGGGAAGGAGTAGAAAGAAGTACTAAAGTGTAAGCTTGGAGAAAAGGAAGACAAGGTCTTGTTATTTCAGTAGACTAGGAAAAGGATACAGAGAAACAGAATTAGAGCACAATATGATGTGGAGTAGAGGAGAGAGGAATTAAGGAAGCTACTCCATTAAAGGAAAAAAAATACAGAAGCTCTGATACCTAAAGGACATTTCTAATAGAGTCTACTAGGAAAGAATGGCTAATAATTCAGGTACAAGGGTATTTTTGGATATAAAATCCTAGCCCATCTTCCAGCAAGAACATTATGAAGTATGTTTTCACAGGTGTCCTTAAGAACTGCCCTTAAGCACTTCTCCATTATTTCTGTAAAAACTCATATAGCTTGGAGAATTTTTTTCTCGAGTGCACCACACAGCATGTGGGATCTTAGTTCCCCAACCAGGAATAGAACCCATTGTTCCTGCAGCAGAAGCTCATAGTCTTAACTGCTGGACCACCAGAGAAGTCCCAGCTTGGAGATTTAATACTAAGACCCAACAGTTGTAATCGCAGTTGTTGTTTTGTTGGTATGTGTGCATGTGTGTGACATAAGTCTATAAGTATTTCCTACTTCAAGTCAGGGCTGGTCTGGACAATAGGGTGGGATGAACCTAGAGAGATAGATGGTTTTAATTGGGAAATGGTAGAGAAAGAAAAATAGGGCCAGGTCTGATAAGAAAAAATTAAGATACTGTAGAATTATGTGATAGGTATCATAATCAAATTGGAGGTTTTGAATACAGAGACACTTGTACAATTTGGGAAGAGTTTATAGAAGAGTTAGTGCTTGAAAAAGGATCAATATGACAAATACCATTATTGTTATCTTTTTTTTTCAGGGCGTGTCCTCAACCCACCATGATGATTTTCAATAACACCACATCCTCCCCTTCAACCTTCCTCCTCACTGCATTCCCTGGGCTGGAGCTCGCTCATGTCTGGATCTCCATCCCTGTCTGCTGTCTCTACATCATTGCTCTCTTGGGAAATAGCCTGATCCTGTTTGTCATCTCTGTTGAGCAGCGTCTCCACAAGCCCATGTACTATTTCCTCTTCATGCTGTCAGCTGCTGATTTGTGTCTGACCATCACCACCCTCCCCACTGTGCTAGGGGTTCTCTGGTTTCATGCCCGGGAAATCAGCCTTAAAGCTTGCCTCATTCAAATGTTCTTTGTACATGCTTTCTCCTTCCTGGAGTCCTCTGTGCTGGCAGTTATGGCTTTTGACCGCTTCATGGCTATCTGTAACCCACTGAAATATGCCACTGTCCTCAAAGACAGGATGATCATGGTGATCGGACTATTCATATGCGTACGGCAACTTATTTTCATCTTTCCCACGCTTCTAGCCTTGAAGAGTGTATCTTTCCAGCAAAGAAAGGAGCTTTCCCATCCATTTTGTTATCACCCAGATATAATCAGAGATACATATTCCAACCCCTGGATCAACAGCTTTTTGGGCTTGTTTCTTCAGCTCTACATGACTGGTACTGACTTACTGTTCATTCTTGTCTCCTATGTCCTGATAATCCGTGCTGTTCTGAGTATTGTGGCCCCCAAGAAACAAAAAAAAGCTCTCAATACTTGTGTGTGTCACATCTGTGCTGTCACTATTTTCTATGTGCCAATGATCAGCCTGTCCTTTACACATCGCCTCCTTAGCTCTACTCCGAGGGTGATCTGTAGCATTTTGGCTAATATTTATTTGATCTTACCACCTGTACTGAATCCTATAATTTACAGCTTGAAGACCAGGGCGATCCGCCAGGCTATGCTCCAGCTATTTCAAACTAAAGGTTCATGGAGCCGTAATGTGAGGGGTCTTAGAGAATCGTGGGACTGAAGGGGAGAAATTTTCAGTACATAAAGTATATTTAAGTAGGAGAGGGATTTATATCCATGTCATCCTCAGGCACTGCAATTACTAAGACAATTTCAGTTAAATTATGGAAGTAGGAAGACAAGAATCCCCTAAATTTATCAAAGAGTTCAAACAAGCAAACATTAATTGTGTATTAGTCCCTCAAACATTTGGGGCTTTCCTGGTAGCTCAGTTGGTAAAGAATCTGCCTGCAATGCGGGAGACCTAGGTTTGATCCCTGGGTTGGGGAGATCCCCTGGAGGAGGGCATGGCAACCCACTCCAGTATTCTTTCCTGGAGAATCCCATGGACAGAGGAGCCTGGTGGGCTACAGTCCATGGGCTGGCAAAGAGTCAGGCAGGACTGAGTTGACTAAGTACAGCACAGCACAGCCCTCAAACATTTAAAACTACTATGTGGACTTTTGTGCATATTAAAAGCACAGACAGGCTAAATGCACACAGAGTGAAGTCATCTTAGTCCATCCAGTTAAACAATTTAATTATCGGCTTAAAAATGATAATTCTTAGGACCAAAACAAATGACAATAATTTTATTTTTCATTCAGCTGAACAAAACCATTTATTTCTGTGGTCAAATTTCCCAGTGGGAATTGAAGAGTTTTTGGTAAAGCTGGTAAACAGAAGAGTCACATGTGTGTGCAAATGTTCACACATAGAAATCTGTAATTTCAAACTGGGTAATTATTGTAGCAATTGGTTGTAATTGTAGTAATTGACAGTAATAATTAGATGGTTTCATTTCCTAGATCACCTCTAGAGACCCCTGCCTCCTTCTGGATACATGCCCTGAACTTCTCTTTTTGTTTTTTCCCTTTAATCCTTTTCCTCCTTAACAGAAATGAAACTTTCCAAGTTCTGATTTGTTACACCTCCAATGAGTGCAATTTATAAAATCACACATCACCTTCTATTATTTTTCCCACGGCCTTGACAGTCTAACACAGTTCTGATTCTGACTCTACACCCCTCTCCAGTGTCTCCACTGTGCCTCAGGACTGAAACTTTTCTCTATTCGCCCTGGTTTGTTGAGTTGTTAATTTTCTCCCTAGCTGTTATGCTCCTTGACTTTTTTGTGTACTTGTTACCATAGAATTGCACAGTGGGTTTGACGCTTTTTAATATGACATTTGTGAATTACCTCTGTTAACAATATTTATTTTCTGAAAAAGTAGCCTCAGTACAGGGTTGACAGGATATTGGGAGAATTCTCCTAACTTTTGTTTCACACAAAGAGTTATGAAATTTTAATTCTACTCAGAAATTTATGTGTAAGCTCAATGGACCAAACAGATACTCTGATCTAAGCCACTTATCTGCTCCCTCTAAGCCAGCTTCCTATTTCTAGCAGACATGGAGTTGCTGTTTAATCTCTAAGTCGTGTCTGACTCTTTGTGACTCCATGGACTGCAGCATGCCTGACTCCTCTGTACTCCACTATCTCTCAGAGTTTGCTCAAATTCATGTCCCTTGATTCGGTAAAGTTATCTAACCATCTCATCCTCTGCCATCCCCTTCCCCCTTTACCTTCATTTCCCCCCAGCATCAGGGTCTTTTTCAATGAGTCAGTTCTTCACATCAGGTGGCCAAAGTATTGTAACTTCATGGATTGCAGCATTGTTGTGGTGATGGGGGCTTGCATAACTCAATGAAGTTATGAGCCAGGCTGTGCAGAGCCATCCAAGATGGACAGGTCATAGTGAAGAGTTCTGACAAAATGTGGTCCACTGGAGAAGGAAATAGCAACCCACTCTGGTATTCTTGCCTGGAAAACCAGACAGTGAACCCCACTCCCAAATTCTGGTATGGTTGCTTCAGCTTTCTGTTCAGCTCAAGTGCTAACAACCCTGTGACTCTGCTTTGCCCAAACCCCAACCCACTTTTCTCTAACCATAAGCAATGATAGCCACCTATTGTTTATAGTGCATATTATTTGCATGATTTCCTTTTTACACAGAATATTCAGATGTTTTTGATATCTCACTGGAATCACTTAAATGTCACACAAACATGTATGCCTGAAGCCACTATTTTAAGTGGAGAAAAATCAATGTATGAGCATACAGAAAGTGCAAATGGAAATAACATTTATTTTTTTAGCCTTCAAGACAAGTATCACAGCACAGAAGTTCTTTTGGCCTTGTGAATTTTGTGGGAAACCTTTATATTTCATCATATCACAATTCAGTGTTTCAGATTTCAATATTCCATCTTCATGTTGCTGCCAAATAAATGTCTTTGGTTATAACCCCTTCAATGGAATAGAATACAACTATTATGTAAAAGTTCAAGAGTCCCAAGGTATAGACATGAAATATCTATACCTTATCACAGAAGAAAAGGGTTAAGAATGGAAGATATTTTTATTAGTCAGGCAGCCTATTAGTAAGCAAAAAAAAAAAAAATCTTAAGGAAAGAGACTTAAGTAAGAGAATTTTGTGAATTTAGGTAAGAATTGTAGGAATGGGGTGAGGCAGAAAAACTGTCACAGAACTGGGCATGTTCTAGATGAGGTTACACAGTACTCTTTAAGGACTCCAGGGAATGACATAAAATACCAGTGTTTTTCAATATTTATGTTTTTGAGTCCAGACATTACTATGCCTAGAGAGGAAAGAGGGCTTGTATAGCAGCTATGAAAGGCTGGTCGAAATGAAGAATTATGAAACAAGAAAGAAAAATATTTTTCTTAAAGAGCATCACACTACAATAGAGAATATCACTCTGAAACCATCCAGTGTCAGAGTAGACAGCCCACACCACACCCTAAACTAACCATCCAAACATTCCTTTACCAGTTCTTACCAATATCAATGGCTTTTTAATTGCTTCTTTGGAAGAGCTTTCTAAATTTTTTTTTCCTTTTCTTTCTTTTTTTTTGGTAGATACACAACACTTCACAATTCATATATTTTAAAACATCTGGAAAAATACATATATATATATATATATTTTTAAATTTTCATAAGTCTGATACCCAAATGCATTAGCAGCAAACAACAAAGCTAACATGAACTGTTGTGAATATACTTATGGACATTATTTATTTCAATTGTGTGAATATTAACACATTTCACTTCAGTAATATAACTGTGTTAGAATACAGGATAATGCCCCAAGTGTTACAGGGCCTTTCTAAAGTATAAAAAATTCTGAGTTCCGAATGTTTTAGGTGAGCAATTATAGAAATGTGTAATCGTTCTTCCAGTTTTATGATTGTCAGTATATAAAGCAGCCTGCTATATGTGTTAATCTTTCATTCTTCCGAAAGTACTTTTCATAGTCAACTCAAAATTCAATTGCTCAATACCAAAATTGCCTTCTCAATGTTGAAACACTTTCATCAGTGTACTTTATAGTAGTTGTTATTAGTAGATGACTTTGCATTTTGGTGTTATTTCAAGCAATGCATTTAATATATTTGGGTTTTTTCTAAAAAAATTATAAACGTCATATATATGTATATTTAGATATAATTAAAATTTTGTGAATATATTGGGAAATACAGAAAAGTATTTAAAAGATAACAAAAATCATTCACAATTCTACCATTGAGAAATATTATATGATCTATGACCTAAACTGTTTTCAATAAGCCAACATAGTACACACACAACATATATTTATGAACCAGGGTAGTAGGGTTTATTTCAACATATATTTCTACTTGTAGATTTGCCTGATGTTACTCACTATTCTCCATTAAATCATATTTTATATTAGATTAACTTTCTTTAGGAAGCTTTCCTCTGATTCTTCACTAAAATAGGCAAACTGCCATTCTTTTATTTGTGTTTTCTTACATTCATGCTTAAGCTTACCATACTTTACTCAGTGAATTTAATTATCTGTTTGTTCTCCCTACCACCTGACTATAAGCTTGAGAGTAGGCCTATGTTTTATTTTCATTTAATCCTAAATGCCGGGAGCCATTAGGGGAGGTCCCGCCCGTGACGAGCTCATGAAGAAAATACCGGACAGGCAAGGCCGTCCAGGATAAGGGAGCCTCCAGGTTGGCCTCAGCCTCTACCCCACCCTGTATCCTCCCCCCTTTTCTGCTGTTGTTCTTGTCTACCCTGCTGCGGATTCTTGTGTTGCCTGCCGAGAGCTCTCCTGCTCCTCTTTCATAAAGAGGAGTAAAGAGGAATAAAGACCAACTTAAAACCCTAATTAATAAATCTCCTGGACTCTGGTACCCTATGAAGGGGCCAGGGATGAAGGAAATGCTTCAGTTCAAACCCTTTTGCTGGCATTCTGGCTTGTTTGATAAATGTGTGCTCTCATTGCACAAAA